CCCCCAGCGCACCCCTTGCGCCGCCAAAGAATTGCCACGCCTGTCACGCACTGGGAGCCTGCAACACATAGCGCCACCACCCCCAGCGCACCCCCTGCGGCGTCGAGGAAACGCCACGCCTGCCCACTCACTGCGAGACTGCAACGCATAGCGCCCCCACCCCCAGAGCACCCCCTGTCGCATCGAGGAAAAACGCCAGCCCACTCCCTGCGAGAATGCAACGCATAGCGCCCCCACCCCCAGCGCACCCCCTGTGGCGTCGAGGGAATGCCACGCCTGCGATGCCCTGTGCGACCGTGCGAATACGTTTTGGGTGTATGATGCAGAGTGCCTGCCACGCCTGCCACGCCTGCCACGCACTGCGAATATTGAGCGCATGTCTTTTGCGTGTGTGCATGCGTGCGGCTGTATGTAGAACGCGGGTCTCGTGTACGCGCCGTGCATGTGTGGCGCCCGAGTGAGGCGAGGACGAGGAAGAGAGGAAGAGGAAGAGGGGAAGAGTGAGTTGTGTGTGGGAAGAGACGCGGGTGCGACGGGGCAGGGAAGAAAACCAGAATCCGCTAAGCATGCGGGGAAAAACGAAAAATGGAACCCACATGTACTGGCTAGAATATTACCAACGATTGCTGGGCCACCTGTCCGCCCTCCTTCATACGCATGCTTCCGCACGTGCGAAAACATACGGTTTTGCGATTGCCAGAGGGTGATGCGCGAGGACAAAAATTGACTGTGAGGCCACACGAAACACACACACACACACACATTGAAATCCACACGGATTGGTTCGAATTGTACCACCGATGTTTTGGTCACATGTTCGCCTTACTGAGTACGCATGTGTCCGCACGTGCGAAAACATACGGTTTTGCAATTGCAAGACGATGAGGCGCGAGGACAAGCATGGTCTATGATGCCAGAAATCTACCATTTGAAACCCACATGCAGTGGCCAGAAGTTCACCAACGTTTCCTTGGCCACATGTCCGCCAACTTGGGTGCGCATGCTTCCCCGACTGCGAAAACATACGGTTTTGTCATTGTCAGACGATGAGGCGCGAGGGCAAAAGTTGTACGCGAAGCCAAAGACACGAATTAAAATCCACATGTAGCGGCTAGAACTGTACCACCGGTTTCTTGGCAATGTGTTAGCCTCCTGGGCACGCATGCTCACGCACTTGCGAAAACATGCGGCTTTGCTCTTGGTCGACGATGAAGCGCGAGGACGAACATGGTCGATGACACAAAAAAAAAACACAACTGGAAATCCACACGCATTGGCTTAAAAGTCACCAATGATTAATTGTCAACGCTTCTACTTTCCTGGGTATACAAGCTTTCGCACATGCGAAAACATACGGTTGTGCTATTGCCAGAGAATGAGGCGCGAGGACAAAAAAATGCTTATGATGCAAACAAGAACAATTCGAAGCCCATCTAAATATGCTAGAACCCAACCAGCAATTTATTGGCCACATTTCCGCTCTCCTGGGAGCGCGTGTGTTCGTTTGCGTCTTTTTTCTGCGAACGCTTCCTGTCCCTATATTGTCATAAGAAGCAAAATGTTCAAGCCGAGGTTACGAGGCTCAAGAAAACGATATATATATATATATATATGTATGTCATAGGTGTAGAAATGGCTTATACCGCCCAGGCCTGCCACCAGCGTGTAGCGGAATGGTCCCCATTGGACCTCAATTGGGTTCCAATAGCTCCGTTTGAACAAGAAAACAACAAGAGGACGCCAATCCGTTTTGTGTATGACGCCAAGAAGACAGGTTCTTATTGGGTGATAGTTGGGTCTTGATGGGATCCAAAATAATATGCTAGTATGGATCGAAAAGGAAAGACTCCAATTGGAATCCAATGCGGTATCCGTCAAATTCGCCAATATGGTTCCAAGATAAACGGCTCCTACTGCTTCGAAAAAGAACCCCAAAGGATCCCGCCGGGCTTCCAATTAGTACCCCAACGCGCTTCCCGCAGCATTCCTATAGGAAGGTTCGTCGATTGTAGCCCAATGGGATTTCCAACCGGTTTCCATTAGGAAGGGCCCCAAAGGGGTTCCATTGGAAGCATGGTTACCGGATTCAAATAGGAAACCCGTAGGCCACATGGCCGAACGTTTTTTCCTCTTGGCGCTGAACCTCTCGGTCCCAATCGGTACACGGGCCCTCTGGGAAATCAGAACGGCGAACCCAATGAGGGTCGCGCGGATCCGCTTTCCAACCTTACCGTAATTGTGAAATCGCGGCGGATCCCATTTCCGTGCGCGCGGATCCCATTTCTGATTTCCGAAATCCGCGTCGGACCCGTTTTTTTACGGCGGATCCCATTTCTACCCCGTTTTGAATTTATACTATTAAATCCTTTCCGGGAACCGACAAGAATGGGATCCGTCGACCGCAGGCCCCCCCCGTGTTAAGATTCTACGGGGGACTGGGGTGGTCCTCTTCGACTTCAAAAGGAAAATCTTTCGTCCTGCGTAGGTAGCGAAGATTGTT